TTAAAAAACTCCTAGCAAAGTTCTGGACCAGATGGCTGCACGGGCAAATTTTACCAAACAGTCAGAAGAATGCACACTACACGCCTCAAACTACTAAAAAAAATTCAAGAGGAAGGAAGACTTACAAACTCTTTTTATGAGGCCAGCATTATCCTACTTCCAAAGTCAGACAAAGACACTACACAAAGAAAGAGAAGTATAAGCCAATATCCCTGATGAACATAGATGCAAAAATCCTCAACAAAATATTAACAAACTGCCTGGCTGGTGGCTCAGTGGTTGAGCAATGACCTATGAACCAGGAGGTCATGGTTCAATTCTTGGTCAGGGCAGGGCATATGCCCAGGTTGCGGGCTTGATCCCCAGTGGGGGGCATGCAAGAGGCAGCTGATCTCTCTCACTGAGGTTTCTATTTTTCTCTCTCCCTCTCCCTTCCTCTTTGAAATCAATAAAAACAGTATTTTTTTTAAATTAGCAAACCGATCCAGGAATACATTAAAAAGATCACACATCATGGCCAAGTGGGTTTTTTTCTGGGGATGCAAGGTTGGTACAATATTCTCAAATCAATAAATGTGATACACTACATAAACAAAATGAAGGATAAAAATCACATGATCATATGAATAGATGCAGAAAAAGCATTTGATAAGATCAGCACCCTAAAAAAAAGGTCAAAAACAAAAAACCAACCCCCCACATACACACAAACATCCCACATACACAATGAAACACCAAAAAATAAAATCCAGCATTTATGATAGCAACCATCTGTGATGTCAGTAATATGGGAATAGAAGGATCGTATCGCAACCTGATAAAGGTCATATATAACAAACCTACAGCCAACATCATACTCAGTGGGCAAAAACTAAAAGCATTTCCCCAGATCAGGAACAAGACAAGGATGTCTGCTTTCACCACTCCTATTCAACACAGTACTGGAAGTCCTAGCCACAGCAATTAGACAAGAGGAAGAAATCAAAGGCATTCAAATTGGAAAGGAGGAAGTACAACTGTCATTATCCTCAGATGGCATGATACTGTACATAGAAAACCCTAATGATGCCACCAAAAATTACTAGATCTAATAAATGAATTTAGCAAAGTAGTGGGATACAAAATTAATATTCAGAAATCAGTGGCATCTTTATATACCAATAATGAACTATCAGTAAGAGAAATTAAGAAAACAATCCCATTTACTATTGCAACAAAAAAATAAGGCTACTAGGAATAAATTTAACCAAGAAGGTAAAAGACCTGTACTCAGAAAATTATAGGACACTGAAGAAAGAAACTGAGGAAGATACAAACAATTGGAAGTGTTAACATCATTAAAATGTCCATACTACCAAAGCAATCTATAGATTCAACGCAGTTCCTATTAATATATATATTTTATTGATTTTTTACAGAGAAGAAAGGAGAGGGATAGGGAGTTAGAAACATTGATGAGAGAGAAACATCAATCAGCTGCCTCCCGCACACCTCCCACTGGGGATGTGCCTGCAACCAAGGTACATGCCCTTGACCGGAATCAAACCTGGGACCTTTCAGTCCGCAGGCTGACGCTTTATCCACTGAGCCAAACCAGTTAGGGCCCTATTAAAATAGCAATGGAATAACCCTGGCCAGTGTGGCTTATTGGTTAGAGAGTGGGACAGGCACCAAAGGGTCTTGAGTTCGATTCCCGGTCAAGAGCATGTTACTTGGATTGCAGGTTTGATTCCTGGCCCTGGCCAGGGTACGTGTAGGAGACAACCAATTAATGCGTCTCCCTCACATAGATGTTTCTATCTCTTTTCCCCTCCCTCCCACACTCTCAAAAAAAAAAATCAATGAAAAAATTATCAAGTGAGGATTAACAACAACAGCAAAAAAATACCAACAGCATGTTTCACAGATCCAGAACAAATATTTCAAAAAATTTATATGGAACCAAAAAGGACTCCGAATAACCTCAACAATATTGAGAAAGAAGATCCAAAGTTGGAGTTATCACAATACCTGATATCAAACTATAACAAGGCCTGTTAATCAAAACAGCCCGGTACTAGCATAAGCACAGGCATATAGATCAATAGAACAGAACAAAGAGCACAGAAATAAACCCATACCTTTATGGTCTATTAATATTTGACAAAGGTGGTAAGAACACATAATGGAGTAAAAACAGTTTCTTCAATAAATGGTGCTGGGAAAACAGAACAGGTACATGCAAAAAGAAAAGAAACTAGACCACCAATTTACACCATATATAAGAATAAACTCAAAATGGATAAAAGACTTAACTGTAAGTAGCAAAACCATAAAAACTCTAGAAGAAAATATAGCCAGTAAAATCTCAGACATCTTTTGTAGCAATACTTTTTCCAATATATCTCCCAGGGCAAGGGAAACAAAAGAAAAATAAACAAATGGGACTATATCAAACTAAAAAGCTTTTTTGCACAGCAAAAGAAACCATCAACAAAATGAAAAGGGAATCCAATGTATGGGAAACATATTTGCCAATGATATATCTGGTAAGGAAATAATTTCCCAAATATATAAAGAATGTACACAATCAATACCAGGAAGACAAAAAATCCAATTAAAGCCCTGGCTGGTTTGGCTCAGTAGATAGAGCGTCGGCCTGCAGACTGGTGGGTCCTAGGTTTGGTTCCAGTCAAGGGCACATGCCTGAGTTGTGGGTTCGATCCCCAGCAGGGGGTGTGCGGGAGGCAGCCGATCAATGATTCTCTCTCATCATTGATGTTTCTATCTCTCTCTCCCTCTCCCTTCCTCTCTGAAATCAATAAAAAAAAAATTAAAAATAATGGGCAAAGGACTTAATAGACACTTTTCCAAAGAGGACATGCAGATAGCTAACAGACATGAGAAAAATTATCAGCGTCACTAATCATCAGAGAAATGCAAATTAAAACCACAATGAGATATCACCTCCCTCCTGCCAGAATGGCTATCATCAATAAATCAACAAACAACAAATGATGGCAAGGTTGTGGAGAAAAGGGAACCCTTGTGCACTGTTGGTGGGAATGCAGCCATTGTGAAAAACAGTATGGAGTTCCTAAAAAAGTAAAAAAATGCTATATATATGGATATGGCCTTAACTGGTTTTGCTCAGTGGATAGAGCATCAGCTTGCGGACCAAAGGTCCCAGGTTTGTTTCTAATTAAGGGGACATGCCCGGTTGCAGGCTCGATCCTTAGAAGGGGGCGTGCAGGAGGCAGCCAATCAGTGAATCTCACTCATCATTGATGTTCTATCTCTCTCCCGCTCCCTTCTCTCTGAAATCAATAAAAACATATTAAAAAATAAAATAAAATGCTATATATATATGAATGAGAATTGCTAAATGGTACAGTAATTTCCTGTCTAGTTAAGGTCAAGAATTAGGCATTTGGAAATTGGAAAGGGCTTATGATGAGACAAGGTAACAGATACAAATCTATCTATAATCACTATCAACCCATAAATAGCTTTTTATTAAATACTAGTGGTCCAGTACACGAATTCATGCACACTGAATGGAAATTAATTAGAAGGAATATTTTAATATCGCTATTCACCCTTTCTCTATAATAAAAGTGTCAACCAAATTTACGATTGACAATGACAGATGGAAACACATGCATGCGATTGGCAGCAGCGAGAGCTTTATATGTACCGTGCATGCACAAATCAACTTAGAGATAGAAATATATATATATATATAATTTGCTTAATTAGACCTGCTTTTTGATTTAGCTAACTTTTTCCAGCCCAGTGAAGCACCCCAACTTTTCGTTCAGGTCAAATTGTCAGCAACACAGCAGTAAATATCATGAAGCAGATTATTACTATAGATCACTCAAAGAGAACACAGGGTAAAATATTTAACTGCAGCAGTGTTTGACTATATTCTGAGCAGTGAGAAAACCTGAAGTCATTTTCAAGGTCCACCATTTCTTATTTCTTTTCAGTCGGGTCAAGTTTCTAAACTTTCTAAATCTGTTTTCCAGCTAATGTAAAGAAAATAGGATTCCACCAAGTCTCCTATTTACCTACTCCAGGACTTCTATGAGGATTAAATGAGATGAAGCACAAGAAAATGCTTCACAGACATTTGGTTAAAGTGTGAAATGTTTGCACCTGGCTATAAAGCAAGTTGTGTTCCTGGGCTGAAGAAACTGCAAGGAGGCTAGCTGTCACTAGGGAGAGGAAGCTGGGCATTGCTACGTAATGTCATTACCCGGTGCCCACAGTGACCATTTCAGGGCTGGGCTGGGCTGAGCTGTGGACAGCATTCTGCGCCATGGGGTCTTGACAGCATCGTCTGCGATTTGGTGGGCTGAAACTCTGGGGTGGTGGCGGGGCATGTGTCCCACTTGGGGGAAGCCGAATGTTGCTTTGTGGGCACCAGGTCCAAGGTGCCGTTTCTCTGTAAATGGCCAGTGTGCATTACCGTAGCTTTTGCACTGAGTGTCTGCCCCCTGGTGGTCAGTGTGCGTCATAGCGACCGGTCAGATAGTCGGACACTTAGCATATTAGCCTTTTATACACACACACACACACACACACACTCTCTCTCTCTCTCTCTCTAGAGGCCCAGTGCACGAAATTTGTGCACAAAGGGGGCGGGCGTGTCCCTCAGCCCAGCACCCTCTCCAATCCAGGACCCCTCGGGGGATGTCCGACTGCCAGTTCAGGCCCGATCCCTGTGGGACCGCTAGCTCCTAACTGCTCACCTGCCTGCCTGCCTGACCGCCCCTAACCACTCTGTCTGCCTGCTGGCCTGATCGCCCCTAATTGCTTCCCTAACCGCTTCTGCCTAAGTCCCCGCCACTGTGGCTTTGTCCAGGAGGAGGACCGGATGACCGGAAGATGTCCAGTCCACCCAGTCTAATTAGCATATTACCCGTTTATTAGTATAGATAGATAGGTGCCTCCAGGTTCAGAGGGACTGGTTGGCTACCAGATCATCTTACAAGAAGAAAATGCAAAATATTTACCAAAAGTTTTTCCACAAGGTCTCTTGCCTTAGGAAAGAATTTTTCAGGAAAATCATATTCCAACTTAATGATCTTCTGAAATATAAGATACTCGTTTCTGTAAAAATAAGAGAAACCATCATTCTGGGTAGGGTCACACAAATCTCCCAGAAGCGAGTTGTGCCTTTCCTGGGGCAGTATCTCCTCTCCCCACAGAGCCACTGTATTCATTAAAGCATCATTGTAAAAGTCCTCCCACCTTGGCTCAGCCCCCTCCCACTTCTCTGACTGTTTCAATGGGCAGAGGTATGTGGGTGTGGGGTGGGTAGAAGGTGGAGGGTAGAGAGGAGGACCAGGGAATGTCTCTTACCCGGCTCGGAACGGTGGGAGTCCTGCCACAAGCTGGTATATTATACATCCAAGAGCCCAAAGGTCTGAACTTTGAGGGGAAAAACAAAGAATGACATTTGTAAAATTTCAGTGACATGCAGAGGTCTTTTCCGTTCCCTCTGTTCATACCACTCCATTTCAGCTTCCTATTTACTGCACTCCTTTAAAGCCAGGTCAGTGTGAAGGTGGGAACCTACCTCAGGCCCTTCTCAAAGGGGCCTCCCTGGGAACTTGGGCCCAGAGTATCCTACACACACCTTTTCCAGTGCCAGCGGTGAGCGGGGTGCTGAGGAGGCTGCTAAGAGATTCTCTCATTAACTCACTGTTTACCCTCAGGACAGAGACGCAAGCTCACAGATAATAGGAAACCAAAGTAGACAGTCTATAGGATGTGCACAAAGCAAGCTTTCTCTTCCCCTTCTTGTGCAAAGCCCTGCTCCTTCTTTATAAACATTTTAATTATATGTTTCAAAAGAAACATCCTACAGTTCTAAGTTGCCCTGTCATTTCCAGAATCAGCTGGCAGGGACTCGGGGAGGAGGGGCGGGGGCAGCACTGCTCTCCTTGCCCTGGATGCCACCCCCTCTCCCACCTGCTCTGGTCCGCTCTCTGTTCTCTCAGTGCCACCTCAGAGCTCACAGCTGACGTCTACTTTGCATATTTAATTTCCTCTGTAAGTGTTGCATTCTATTCCCAGCTCAGCCCTAAGAAATCATCAAGATGCTCCTCAACCTGCACTGCCAGCTGCTTCTCCCTACTCCCATCTCCATCCCTGCCCTGTCTGTGTATAGGGCTCAGAGGTGACTGGATGTAGTCAGTGTCTGTAAGAGGCCACAGCCTGATATCTGGAAAATGAATTCCAAGGGCATGGGTGGAGACAACAGGCCAACTGCAGTGCCTGGGCCTTGGATGAGGGCTCTGTATCACCAGCACCGGGAGGGATGAGGAAGCTCTTGATTTGGAATAGAAATGCAACAGGTCTGAAATCTGAGTCACAACACAAAGAGGGAGTGAAGGGCATTTAAAAAATGAAATCTACATCCTAGCTGGTTTGGCTCAGTGGATAGAGCGTCAGACTGAAAGATCCCGGGTTTGATACCTGGGTTGTAAATTCAATCCCCAGCCCTGGTTGGGGAACATGCAGGAGGCAATAAATCAATGTGTCTTTCTCACATTGATGTTTCTCTCTGTGTCTTCCCCTCCCTTCCACTTTCTCTAAAAGTCAATGGAAAAATATCCTCGGGTGAGGATTAACAATAACGAAATAAATAAACAAACAAACAAACAAACAAACACCTACATTGTACCCAGTAACTAGTTTTTATACTGATCTTCTCTATTTAGTCTAGTTAAAATAGGGAGCTACATAAGAAAAACACCTACAGCAAAGCATGCCCTTTATATGTGGACAGAAAGAGGATGGAAAGAGAGGGGACAGGGGTGGGGGGCAGAGGGAAGGAAGGAGACAGGGAGGGAGGGAGGGAAGAAGGAGGGGGGGGCGCGGAGAGAGAGAAATACTGATGTGAGAGACACACATTGATCAGCTGCCTCCCGCATGGGCCTGACCATGGCAGGGTTCCTGCAACCCAGGTATGTGCCCTTGACTGGGAATTGAACCCATGACCTCTTGGTCTGTGGGCCAACACTCTAACCACTGAGCACCCAGCCAGGGGCATTAGTTGATTCTTGTATGTGCCCTGACCAGGGATCGAACCCACAACCTTGGCGTATCGAGACGACACTCTAACCAACCGAGCTACCCAGTGAGGGCTCTAAAATGTTTTAAAATACAATAAAAACTAAAGGGGGAGTCAGTTTAGTATTTCTAGCAAGTACGAAAGATTTTAAAAATGTTCAGGTAGGGCAAGTCATTCTACTTTTTGAAATTCAACACAGGAACTTAGGGCAGCCTTGGGGCAGCCCAGCAGGTATCCCATCTCTCCCTCTGGACAAGCAGGAGTGCCCCTCTGCCCCACAGCACAGAATATGCAGCACACAGTAAGCATGCCAGATTGTGCCAAATAAACAAAACCACTTCAACGTCCAATGATAAAGGAAGCGTTTGACAAACAACAGTAAATCATATGCTAAAACACCCCACAGCTGTTAAAGATGACTGCAAATAATTTTAGTGACATAGGGAAATGTTCATCATATAATTGCAATAATTATATAATGAACCATTATATATTTAATAATTAGATAATAGCCATTAAATATTTAATGGTTATTTAATAACTATTCAAAATTGGGTTATTCAGTATGACTCCAAGTTGCATAAAAATTACATAACCATATATAATACCCCTAGAAAAAAATAACTGGGAAGATACACCAACTCATTATTTGAGACTGTAAGTGGGCTGGAGACTGAATGTTTTTGTATTTTTATTCTCCATATTTTCTAAGAATTCTTTCCAATGAATATGTATCACTTTTTAAATTAAAAAATCTGAACTATTTTTGAATATCACGTACTAAAAATTTGAAAAGCATAAGATATATATTGATATCTCCCTCACAACCCTGTTCCCTCAACATTACAGTGTTATTTTCCAATTCTTGTAGACTCTTCTAATGTTGTAAAATGCATAACAAACATCTGGGTAGACATTCTCCCTCCTTTTTCCACAAAAGGTGTCTTCCTTATCGCATTCAGTAGAGCAGAGATCTTCCCCATCATGCTAATAAGCTGCCTCATCCTACAAGTAAACCCAAAATTGATGAAAAGCTGGTACTTAGTCAGCAGTGACACACACACTTCAAGAATGTGGCCAACAGCACCAACCACCCTCAGGAGCGTGTCTCAGCCTCAGCACTGTAGACATCGGGGAGCCAATCATTCTTGCTGTGAGTATGGCTCTGCACTGCAGGATGCTGAGCAGCCATCCACTGTACGTCAATAGGACTCTCTCCCAACCCTCACCAAGTTGTGGCACCAAAACTGTGCCCATACACAGCCAAATGTCCCCTGGGAAGAATATTGGTTAAAAGGCTCCATGTAGGAATCCCTGACCTATAATAGCATTTGGCCCTCGGCAAAAGCTCAAAAATAAAGAGCCTGGAGATCCAAGTTTAATCCTGAAGAGAACATCCTTCTATCCTTCATCATGTTTCTGCCCCACAGCTCCACCCCTTAATGAGTTTTTTAAAGGCTGTTATGCTCACAAACACAGAGCTGCTGTCCCCTGAATCACTCACTCCTCTGAAGGCTTTGGCACCATTACTTTGTCATTTTAGGAAGGCAGCCCCTTGCAGCCTGCCAATCTAGGTCACTGACCCGAAGACCCTCTGTCAATTCAAGGGAAGGTGCCAGCAGACCATGTGCTTGGCTGGCCCTGGGGAGGAAAAACCCAAAGAAAAGCTTTAACTACAGAATCTTGTCACCACCTGGAACCACTCCCCAAACTCTGAAACCCCAGATTCTACTGCCACCTCAGTCTTCCACCTCCCTCATACCTACCTGACAGCTCCCCAGACTTCTCCCCACCCCTAGCCATCAACACCCCTCCACACACCTTCTTTTCCTCCACTGCCCAGCTGCCCTAATGCTGACCCTTCTCCACTCTTCAGACTACTGCCCTTTTGAACAGAACCCCAGCTCCTGTGTCCTCTATACTCTAATTTACTCTATACCCACCAAGGCCCTCAACCCTGCAGCCACTGCCAGGCCTGTCCCAGATCTGAGCCCTGAGCAGAGTTGGCTAGTGCTGCCTGGGCCCTTGCCAGGAAGCTGGCTCTGTCCCCTCTCACACATGCTGCCTTCTGGGCCTCTTCCCATAGTCTGCAGAGTCCATAACACTAAACACTGACCTATGGCTGCCAGTAATGCCAGACTCCCAGAGTAGGAGGCAAGACAAGGATCCCTGGGCTTTGAAACAAGCAAGAAGCCTTGTTAAATAATAAAGACCTGTCTGCCACACTTCTTTTCACCGAAGTTATTCTAAAGGAACAAGATCTGATCTCAAAGTATAAAGCAACAACCACCCCAGGAAGTATAAAGTGTAACAATAAAGTAGCACACTGGTTATTAAAAGAAAGATATTGGTTAAAAGGCAAAATGCTAACTTCTTCCAAAGTGGGCTTAGCTATATAAAGGCCAGGAAAGGCATTCTCTTAAAAAAAAATAAATAAAAATAAAAAATTTTCAAGGAGAAATATATCAATGGTGAGAGAGATTCATCAATCAGTCAACTACTGCACACCTCCCACCTGGAATTGATCCCCCAACCCGAGATGTACCCTGACCAGGAATCAAACCATGACCTCCTGGTTCATAGACAGACACTCAACCACTGAGCTACACGAGCTGGGTGAAAGGCACTCTCTTAACTATTAATTTCACATGAAAAACTGTATTAGCTACTTTAGAGAAAAGATTATTATGTATCAGGAAAAAATATATATATATGGATAAGAACAAGAAAAAATCAGGTTACCTTTTACAGGCTGATTTCTCTGTGAGCAGCTCTGGAGAAACATACTGGGCTGTTCCTACAAACGAGTTGGCCCTGGCTGATGAGAAGAGGAAAATGGTCATGCTGAGATACAAAACACAACTGTGGACGGTCATATCAGGACATCATGGCTGACATGGGCATAAACTGGAGCTTTTTGCCAGCACAGCACTCGTCACTTGGAATCAGACTATACTGTACAATCCTGAAAGCCTCACTTGTCTGGGGCCCCTCCCTCACACCCCATTTTGAGACCCTCTCCTCCCAGGGCTGGCTCAAAGGTCACCTGCTCAGTGACATTTTCCCTGACCACCAGGGAAGCTCCTTCTGGTCACCTCCCTGCCTCATGTTCTCCTAGTGCAGCGGTTCTCAACCTGTGGGTCATGACCCATTTAGGGGTTGCCTAAGACCATCAGAAAACACATATATAATTACATACTGTTTTTGTGATAATCACTATGCTTTAATTATGTTCAATTTGTAACAATGAAAATACATCCTGCATATCAGACATACATTACGATTCATAACAGTAGCAAAATTACAGTTATGAAGTAGCAATGAAAATAATTTTATGGTTAGGGGTCACCACAACATGAGGAACTGTATTAAAGGGTCGCGGCATTAGGAAGGTTGAGAACCACTGTCCTAGTGCCTCTCACCAACACTAGAGCAGCCCTCACCCAGCATTCTCTCAGCTGGAGCATCTCAAGGAGCCTGTGGTGTTTAAAAATAGTTCTGGACATGCAGCAAGCACACAATGAACATGCACAAAATGCAGGAAAGGACTGGATCCCCTCCAGGGCAGGAATACCTTCTTATAATAAACTGCTCAGGGATATAAAGGGAATAAGACTCATGTGTCCCAGCTGGGGAACCCCCACAGCATACTGCTGTCTCTAGTACTGGACTGTGTGATGCACAATTCACAAAGATCAAATGCAGACCTGGGTTGGGTGGCAGCAGGACCCTCTGGACCTATCACCACAGAGAGGAGGCACTGACACCCATTCACCCCAGTGGCCCCAAGGATCTTAGGGACCTCAGCAATGGCCATGCATCCCTAATAAAGAACCACAGGCATAAGCTGCATGCCCCACCACACTGCTCCTGAGGCATCCTCCATGGAGCGTCTCTGGCACTGGGGACCACACAGCTGCTCTCAGCCTTTCCTATGACTCTCAGAGGATGAAGGATCAGAGATGCCGGTATGAGAGCCACCTATCATCCGAAAACCAATTGGTTCTCCAAGGAGAGGAGCCACATATTTCACTCATAGCAACCTTCCAGGCTGGTACTGTGTAACCAGCAGACATTTGTTGTCTACTTTTATGATTGAAGGAAATGTTCGATTTCAACTGAAAGGTTAGTGAAAATCAGTGACTTTTCTCCTCTCCAGTGTCATGGCTGCTGGCTGGCTTCTATCTGTGACACCGGGTAAAAACCCCAAAGAGAGCATTAGAAAACCACAGAGGTAATCTAGTCACCTCCCCGTGGAAGTTCAGATATAAGCTAAAGGTCAAACTTCTCCAGCTACTGGAAAAACAGACCTAGAACCCATCATTGGTAAACACAGCCTCCTCTATGCCACTGACCCCTCACATGTAGGACACAGTCAGGAGAAAGGAGTGGGTTGCTGTTTCCATCCTCAAAGTGATTCAAAGAAAGTGATCAGCATCCTGGGCTATACACCACTCTAGTCACCACAAATCTGTAAGTCAAACTCTGAGGTGCCAGTGGGGAAGGAGGGACCTAAAGAAGTGTTCCTGAGGTCTGGGGACCCTCACACTCTGTTCAAGCCATAAGTGTAGACTGCTAGTGTCATACCCATAAACCCACACATGAAGCACAGCAAACATTCACAAAATATGGTCACCTCTTGGACAGAAGATGAGAAAACACTACTGCGGCACATAAAAAGGAGTCTGGCCCTGCCCAGTGTGTTTCAGTTGGTTGAGCATCGTCCTCTGCACTGAAAGGTTGCCAGTTTGATTCCCGGTGAGGGCACATGCCTGGGTTGTGGGCTCGATCCCCAGTACAGGGCATGCAGGAGGCAGCTGATCTATGTTTCCCTCTCGCATCAATATTTCTCTTTCTCTCCCCATCCGTTCCTCTCTCTAAAAATCAATTTAAGCCCTAACCGGTTTGGCTCAGTGGATAGAGCGTCGGCCTGCGGACTGAAGGGTCCCAGGTTCAACTCCAGTTAAGGGCATGTGCCTTGGTTGCAGGCATATCCCTAGTAGGGGGTGTGCAGGAGGCAGCTGATCGATGTTTCTCATCAATGTTTTTAACTGTCTATCCCTCTCCCTTCCTCTCTGTAAAAAGATCAATAAAATATATTTTTTAAAAAGGGGGGGGAGTCAGCAAGTGAAATTTATCCCAGGAATGCAAAGGTGATTAAATATATATAAATCAATCAATGTAATACATCATATCATTAAAATTAAGGACAAAACCACATGATCACCTCAACAGATGCAGAAAAAGCATCTAACAAAAATTCCTTCATTATAAAAATGCATAAAATGAGAACAGAAAAGAAACCTCCTCAACCTGATAAGGCATCTATGAAAAAGTCAAAATTAACTTGTTATTCATAGTGAAAGACTAAGAGCTTTTCCTAGGATTAGGAACAAGACAAGGATGTCACTCTTGTCATTTCTATTCAACATAGTGGAGGTTCTACCAGGATAACTAGACAAGAAAATGAAATAAAAGGAATCCAGATTAGAAAGGAAAAAGTAAACTACCTCTAATCACAGATGACATGGCCTTGTACACAAATATCAACTGTATTTCTTTCTTTTAAACCCTCACCTGAGGACATGGAGGGAGGGAGGGAGGGAGGGAAACATCGATTGGCTGCCTTCTCTATGTGCCACAACCCAGGCATGTGCCTTGACTTGAAATGGAACCAGCAACCTTTTGGTGCACAGGATGATGCTCAACCAACTGAGCCAGTCTGGCCAGGCTCAACTGTATTTCTATACACTTGCAATGAACAATCTGAAAATTAAAGTAAGAAAACAATTCCATTTATAATTTCAAAAATAAAATACTTAGGAATAAATTTAACAAAAGTGCCAAGCTTATACACTGAAAACTACACAAGATTTTTGAAATTACAAAAAAATCTAAATTAAAAAATTTAAAAATCTAAAGATTTCCCATGTTAAAGGATCAGAAGGTTTAATATTATTCAGATGGCAATACAGTCCCTACTTACGATGGTGTGACTTACAATATTTTAACTTTACAATGGTACAAAACCGTACTTTGAATTTAGATCGTTTTCCAGGCAAGCAATATGTGGGACATCAGATAGTGAGCCATAGTTCTGTGGGGCATGCAATCACCAAGGTAAACACCTGATACTCTACAGTGTACTGTGTTGCCAGCATTTTTGGATATTGTGTTCTGAGCACATTTAAGGTAGGCTAGGCTAAGCTATGATGTTTGGTAAGTTAGATGTATTAAATGTGTTTTTGACTTCCAATATTTTCAACTTATGATGGGTTTATCAGGACATAACCCCATCATAACTTGAGGGGCACCTGCACTCCCCAAACGGATCTACACATTCAACACAGCAATAACCCAAATCCCAGCTAGCTTTCACTGAACACAATGTTTTCAAGGTTCATCCAGATCGTAGCATGTATCAGAACTTCATTCCTTTTCATGGCTGAATAATATTCAATTGTATGGATAGACCACACTTCATCCACTCATTAGTTGATGGATACTTGAGTTGTTTCCACTTTTTGAATAAAGCTGCTATCAATATCCCTGCACAACTTTTTATGTGAACATGTTTTCAGTTCTCCTGGATATATACCTATATGTAAAACTGCTGAGTTATAAGGTAACTATGTTAAACCTTTGAGGAACTGCCACACTGTTTTCCAAAATGATTGCACTACTTAACATTCCCACCTGCAGAGTCTGAGGGTTTCAATTCTCCACATGCTTGCTAATACTTATCTTTTTTATCAAAGCCATCCTAGTGGGTAATGAAGTGGTACCTCATAGTGGTTTTGATTTGCATTTTCCTAATGACACTGAGTACCTTTCCATGTGTTTACTGGGCATTTGTTTATCTTTGGAGAAATGTCTAATTAGACCTTCTGTCCATTTTCAATATTTTTTTATGGTTTTAAATCAACTTTATTAAGGTGTAGTTTGCATAAAACAATGGAAATATTTCAAGTTGTCAGTTTGATGGATTGACAAATGTATACACCATGTAACAACCATTCCAATCAATATATAGAACACTTGTTGTCC